ATGCACTTCTTCAACATGGAGATGTGAAACACCGGATGAACCACAACCAACTCTTGTTATAGCTCCTACTCATAATCTACTTTGCCAACCCTCTTGGATATTCGATAAGGTCCAATATATCGGGGACTAAGTTTCCCCTTCTTACCAAACCTCATAACACCCTTCATGGGTGAATCATTTAGATATACCCAATCATCTACTTCGAACTCTAACGCCATTCTTCTTACATCAGTGTAGGATTTCTGACGACTCTATGCCGTTTTCAACCTCTCTTGAATCACTTTCACTTTCTCCATAGCTTGATGGACTAAATCTGGTCCTATCAACCTTGCTTCACCAACTTCAAACCATCCACTAGGATATTTGCATCCTCTCCCATAAAGAGCTTCATATGGAGCCATCTGGATGCTAGAGTGGTAACTATTGTTGTATGCAAATTCAAGAAGGGTAGGTGATCATCCCAATTACCTTTGAAATCGATCACACAGTCCCTCAACATATCTTCTAATGTCTAAATAGTGCTCTCTGCTTGCCCATCTGTCTGAGGATGAAAAGCAGTACTTAAGTTCACCTTTAAACCCAAACCCTTCTGAAAATATTTCCAGAATTGTGCAGTAAACTGTGCACCTCTATCTGAAATAATAGAGACTGGGACTCCATGAGGTCTTATTACCTCCTGAATATATAACCTGGCATAATCCTCTACTGAATGGGTAGTATTTACTGGCAAAAAGTGGGCTGATTTTGTCATTCTGTCGACAATCACCCAAATAGAATTATGCTACCTGCGAGACCTTGGTAAACCTGTGATTAAGTCCATATTAATTATCTCCCACTTCCATTCCGGAAGCTCTACATTCTGAGCCAAACCACCGAGACTTTTGTGCTCTACTTTAACTTGTTCGCAATTTGGACACTTGGCAACAAATTCTGCAATGCCCTTGTTCATGCTATTCCACCAATAAACTTCTCCCAAGTCACGATACATCTTTGTGGAAACCGGATGAATGGAATATTTTGAGCTATGAGCTTCCTCCATAATCCTCTCTTGGAGTCCATCCACCATAGGTACACACAATCTACCTTGATATCTCAATACACCATCTCCCCCTTAATTCAAAAGCTAATACTTTTTGCTTTTGAACATTTGTCTTCAACTCAAGCAAAATGGGATCTTGGTCTTGTTTTTCTTTTAACTTTTGACACTAGTGATGATTCATCTCCATTTGTCACCACTATTCCTCCTTCTGTGGAATCCATAAGTTGGACTCCTAAGCGTGCAAGCCTATGCAAATCTTTTTCTAACTCTCTTTTTCCTTCCTCAACATACGCGGTACTACCCATAAACAACCTACTCAAGGCATCAGCAACAACATTAGCCTTACCTGGGTGATAAAGAATACTCATGTCATAATCCTTGAGTAACTCTAACCACCTCATTTGTCTGAGATTAAGCTCTTTCGGAGTGAACACATATTGAAGGCTCTTATGATCATTGAATATATCAACATGAACACCATACAAATAATGGCGCCATATCTTCAAAATGAATACCATAGCAGCCAACTCTAAGTCAGGGGTTGGGTAGTTCTTCTCATGAACTTTCAACTGTCTAGAGTCATAAGCTATAACCTTGCCATTCTACATTAATACACAACCCAAACAAACTCTAGATGCATCACAATACACCACAAAACCTTGAATACCTTTCGGTAAAGTCAAAATTGGGCCAGTAGTCAACCTCTTCTTCAATTCCTGAAAGCTTTTCTCACAAGCCTCAGACCATTGAAATTTCACTGTTTTCTGAGTCAACTTCGTCAAAGGGGACGAAATGGATGAAAAACTCTCTACAATCCTTCTATAATAGACAACCAAACCTAAGAAACTCCTAATATCAGTTATAGAGGTAGTTCTAGGCTAATTTTGCACTACCTCAATCTTGTGGGTATCAAATTTAATTCCCTCTCCAGACACGATGTGGCCTAAGAATGCCACAGATTCAAGCCAAAA